CCTGAATCAGACTACACAGGTTGCGCACATGTTTGATGTCATGTCATGTGTGTGTGTGTGTGTCTGTATGTGTATGAGTGTGAGTGTGTTTGTGTGTATGTGAGTGTGTGTGTTTGTGTGTATGTGAGTGTGTGTATGCGAGTATGTGAGAGTGTGTGTGTGTGAGCATGTGTGAGTGTGTATGTGTGAGAGTGTGTGTGTGTGTGTGTGTATGCGAGTATGTGAGAGTGTGTGTGTGTGAGCATGTGTGAGTGCGAGTGTGTGTGTGTGAGTGCGTGTGCGAGTGCGTGTGTGAGTGTGTATGTGTGAGAGTGTGTATGTGTGAGAGTGTGAGTGTGTTTGTGTGTATGTGAGTGTGTGTGTTTGTGTGTATGTGAGTGTGTGTATGCGAGTATGTGAGAGTGTGTGTGTGTGAGCATGTGTGAGTGTGTATGTGTGAGAGTGTGTGTGAGTGCGAGTGTGTGTGAGTGCGTGTGTGAGTGCGAGTGCGTGTGTGAGTGTGTGTGAGTGCGAGTGTGTGTGAGTGAGAGTGTGAGTGCGTGTGTGAGTGCGTGTGTGAGTGTGTATGTGTGTGAGTGTGTATGTGTGTGAGTGTGTATGTGTGTGAGTGCGAGTGCGTGTGTGAGTGTGTATGTGTGTGAGTGCGAGTGTGTGTGAGTGCGTGTGTGAGTGTGTATGTGTGTGAGTGTGTATGTGTGAGAGTGTGTGTGAGTGCGAGTGTGTGCGAGTGCGTGTGTGAGTGTGTATGTGTGAGAGTGTGTGTGAGTGCGTGTGTGAGTGAGAGTGCGTTTGTGAGTGTGTGAGTGCGAGTGTGTGTGAGTGCGTGCGAGTGTGTGTGAGTGCGAGTGCGTGTGAGTGCGTGTGTGTGTGAGTGTGTGTGTGAGTGTGTGTGTGCGTGTGAGTGCGTGCGTGTGAGTGCGTGTGTGCGAGTGCGTGTGTGAGTGCGTGCATGCGTGAGTGCGTGCATGAGTGCGAGTGTGTGTGAGAGTGTGTGTGAGTGTGTGTGAGTGCGAGTGTGTGCGAGTGTGAGCGAGTGTGTGTGTGTGTGTGTGTGAGTGCGAGTGTGTGTGTGTGCGAGTGTGTGAGTGTGCGTGTGTGCGAGTGCGTGTGTGAGTGCGTGCATGCGTGAGTGCGTGCATGAGTGCGAGTGTGTGTGAGAGTGTGTGTGAGTGTGTGTGCGTGTGTGAGTGCGTGCGTGTGTGAGTGCGAGTGTGTGTGTGAGTGCGTGTGTGTGAGTGCGTGTGAGTGAGTGCGTGTGAGTGCGTGTGCGTGTGAGTGCGAGTGTGTGCGAGTGTGTGTGTGTATGTGAGTGTGTGCGTTTGTGCGTGTGTGTGTATGTGAGTGCGTGTGTGAGCGTGTGAGTGCGTGCGTGTGTGCGAGTGTGGGAGTGCGTGTGTGAGCGTGTGAGTGCGTGTGTGAGCGTGTGAGCGTGTGTGCGAGTGTGCGTGAGTGTGTGCGTTTGTGCGTTTGTGTGAGTGTGTGTGTGTGAGTGTGAGTGTGTGTGTGTGAGTGTGTGTGTGTGTGTGTGTGTGTGTGTGTCAATAGGGCTTAATACAACACACAATAGAACATGTGTAAACATAAAAACACATATTAAACATTTTAACATAACATTAATGGATTTTAAAAAGCATCTTTAGTCGAAATGGAAATGCTGATTTAAGAACATCAATCCACTGACCACATAAGCAGTATTATTGTAGTATTATTTGAATACTATTATTGATAATATAATAATATATTTAATAACTGAAAATATAAAAAAAATGAAAGATAATAATTAATATAATTATAATAATTATATTTTCACTTTTCATTTAATTATAGTTTAAGTTTTAGTAATTCAGTAAATTAGTAAATGTGCTTTTTTGTTTGTTTGTTTTAATATTTATTCTTAGCTTTATTTTTTATTGCAGTTTTAGTATTTGTAAGTTAAGTAATTTTGAATTAGTGGCCAACGAAACATTCGTTTTAATTAAACTAAATTTTTTAATGTAAGTTTTTCGTCGAATGTTTTATTTCATCTTTAATTAACGAAAGCCGGTTTAGTAGTTCGTTTGGCCGTTTGCTATGGAAGCCCGTTTCCGCCACTGAATAAAAAAATAAAAAAGGTAATTTGCAACTCTTAGTTTAACTTTTTCTCGCAACTTTGTAACTCGCAATTGTGAGATATAAGCTCGAATTTGTAAGAAATTGAGTTGCACTTTATAACTCACAGTTGAGAATTTACATCTCGCAATAATGAGAAAGAAGTTTTGGTACCATTTACGTTTTAATCGGTACGGTACCTGAATTTCGATAGTGATACATATCAAATATATATTTCCTGTAAATAAGGATGCTATGACATCTACATGGTAGAGACCAGCGGAATTTCAAACAAACAAACAAACAAAAAGTCCTCAAAATTATTGAAAATAATTAAACTGTC